TTCCACCATAAAGTCCTCCACGAAGATAAATTTCTCCCAATGATTGATCCATGAATTTCATTGTCATCTGGATTGGGTTCGATACGGAGTTGAATATTGGTAGTCGCAAACTGAAAATTCGGAAGGCTGTTCAACGACGGCTATAAAATAAAATAAAAAATATGTATATCCTCCATCAGCGTGATGAAAACGTAATCATCCAAAAAGGGGCATAAGCTTGCCTGTTTTTCATTGAACTTCTGCCGAATCCTGCCAAATCTTCCCATTAACATCTGTTGATTTCTTTTCGAAAACTGATGAAATTTAAGGTGCGAGCTATGATCAACTTGTCCATTCCTTGATCTTTCCTGCTTATAGTATGAGGATACCTTCCCTTCTTGGCACCTGTTTTTGACTGCATGGTGTGGAAAATGTAAAAATGTCTTCTCAAAAGAATCATGGTTTCCTCAATCAAAATGATGAGAATCAATAAAAATCAATTTTTTTTTTTTGACTTTCCTTGAGAACAGTTTTCCTGGACTTGCAGTGATAAACTTGTAAGGTACTTTCAGCAAACTTCAATCAGTTTGTATATTTTTATGTTATATTTACAACATAGATTTACCAGCAAAAATAAATAGTTTTGCGGAACAATGTAATTGTTTTCATAGTCATGGTAAAATTCATTTAGTCTGTATCAGCAAACTAAAAAAAGGCTCCTACTATAATTAAGGAAAAAAATCTAATAATCCCTTTTCTAAATGTTTTAATAATATGCTTTTAACTAATTTAATAAATTGTAAACTATTTTTTTAAATGCTGAGTTTCCATATAAATTCATATAGATTTATCTATAAAGTACAGGGAGAAAAAAGTATGGTCAAAACTACCACAATGTGATATTATTTACCGTATTTCTGGCTCTTGTAACACCAAAAAGTTACTTCTACCGAGGCGTTTTGGTTATGATTTTGGTAAAATTAACAATAAAATATATTGCATAATATGTGATAAAATTTGGTTAATGTGGTATAATTTGGTGACTTAATCATGATATCTTAGAGCAATAATTATTCGTTAATAAATCATTTATTCCGTTAAATTTACTTTTCAGATTTGTATTCTTTACTAAATGTGAGGTAAAGAGAATTATAATTTTGAAAATAAGAATTTCCGGTAAACCGTTTCCATATGAATAGAAAAACCCCAAATAAACGGTTAAATTATCATACGTTTTTATTTTTATTACCAGAATTATGGAATTTTTACCAGAAATTTCATTAACATACGGCATTTTAATTTTACCAGAAATTTTTTCTCCGTGCAATGTTGGAAATTTCTCGGAAAAATGGTTATATAACAATTTATCGAATGGTTATTTTACCATATTTATTCAAAACAGTCAAATAACCGTAAATGAAATGGTAATCAAACTGTTAAGTTTTAGAAAAACTGTTTACTAACTGCTTTCACCTAATATGGTTAAACAACCAGGATTTCATCACATCAACTAGAACCACCTAATGAAGCTACTTATAGTTCTTTGCAACTGCGTGCATATCCTAGCCGAGCGGGCTTATCTGTCAATGTCATGACCGGCAGATCTGAAGTTCGAGTCCTAGTGTTGACACCACTATGTTTTCTCCATTCCATTTAACATATGAAGAATTACCAACATCCGGAACTTTCCAATGCCCATTACCTTACGAAAAGTAGAGCTCCTATGTCTAGTTAAATAAGTATTTTTTTTACGTTCTTGAAAAATGCTAGTTGTAAATGGTTAAAAAACCGTATAGTATTCATAGTATTCATGGTTTTATAATCATACTTTTATAAATGGTTTCAAATCCATAAAGAAAAAATATGTTCTTTACCGTAAACTTTAGGGTTAATCGGATGGACAGACAGCTGCCAGTTATTTTACCATAATTTTAGATTGAACCTTTTAACAGTGTGCAGGAGTATCACTTCATGAAATCTAAGAATCTCTATATAAAAGAGAAACATTGCGTAATTTATTAGTAACTTAAACAAGTTTAATTTTACAGTATTTAAATCAAATGAATTTTTTTAAAGAAAGCAGTTATTCCAACATTCTTTGAAAAAAAAATTACTTTTATTAGGAAACATAATTAGTGCATTTGCGATAAACAATATTTTTCAAAGTTAAAACGTTTACTTTAAAATCAACCATAACTATTTTTTACATTAATGTTAGTTGACTGTTATTATTTACATTTCTGTGTTATAACTTCCATTGAAAAAAATCACAAATTATTTAAAAACCAGTCTAGTTCTGCAACAACAAAAAAAATCGGTCCCTAATAGAATAATATATTATTCATATGAAATAGATAAGCAATTACTTTTGAATTACTCTTACTTTTGAAATATATTTCTTCTCAAATATATTTTTTTTAAAAAAGGTTTGCGAGATAAATTAATCTTTTATTTAAGCAATATTTATCCCCTTTGAGACAAAACGGAAAATACTTTTGAAAGTTAAAATACATTATTTTTTAAATACTTTTTTGTGCGTAATTTATCATTAATTACAAATTATTTATTTATACTACAATGTTCATCGGCTTATACTCTCTTTTTGACGTAAATGTTTTTTTTATGTACTGTAACGAGATATTATATTTCTTTGAGAAATAGTATTTTAAGCTTAGTAAGATTTAATACCTAACTTTCTAAGAGTAAACAACTGCAATGAAAAAGACAAATTTGAAAATGAAAAAAAGGATAGGGAAAAGGTAAGCAAATAAATATTTAGAGAAAAAAAAGGAAATAAATATTCAAAGACTTTAAAACTGATTTAGTAAATCTAGGTAACAAATATAAAATAGAAAAGGATTAAACGATGTAAACTTCTTAGACTACGTTATAAAACATCTTATCTTATGAGAAAGTAATAAAAATAAGAAAGTAGTAAACTCTTTAAACAAAGAATAAAAAAGGACAAAATCCTTTATAGAATTGTTGAAAAAGATTTAAACGGCTTATCTTCTTTCCTTTTTTTTCAATTTTTGACCACCTATCACATTACCTGTATTAAAAAGCGTTTCTTCAATACTTTCTTAAATATTTCAATATTCATGTATATATATATATATATATATATATACTATGCACCCATAAAAATAATTTTANATACAAATCTATATATATATATATATATATAACTTTTTTAATATCCATACGATTCTACCTTCTCCATATGCTTTTGCATGTACCTATTTGTTTTGCATTTTTGTGATTTTACTTTACTGTTTGGTGCTTCTCACTCTATTGCACTGATATATTTTAATTTGTCTGTATTATTACAGTATTAGAATACACTTTTTTTGCTGATATAACTGTGTGAACTGTTGAGACGATTATATCTATTGGCTGATATTTTTTTTTTTTTTACTTTTGATAAATTTTTTAATTTAAGTTGCATGTATTCAAAATTTTTATTATTTGTGGAATTTTATTAGCATTTGTAAAATGCGGTCTTTCGAAATTCATTTAATGCCACTGTCTCTCAGCTGACACTAAATAATGATTTGTCAAATTGCATTATAAAAGAAAATCAAATAATCTTTAGTAAGTGAAATAATAATTATTTAAAAAATTTATATTGTAGAATGGTCAGCTGCTTTCGAAACATTTTTTACAAATTTGGATTCCATTTGAGTCATAAATAAAAAAGTTACTTAGGAGATACAGCTTTCCAGCCCCGAAATGCTTTTATATTTCTATTCCGATGGTTTCGATTTCTCACCAGTTATTAACAAATAGCAGAGAAATCTCCCCATAGTTGATCGTAATTGAAAATCGTTTCGTTGGGAACTTAATATACTCATTTTCAACAGTTTTTAGAAATATGCAGTAAATGTTTTCAAGCGTGTAAATAATAATTTTTGTTGTTGTTGTTTCCAATGACACTCGGACAATCCAAGCTTGCCAGTCATTGGTTTTTGTAAATTAAGTAAGAAAAAGGGTTTTATTCGTTTCACAAGAGAGCACCTCCAAGGGTGAAAGTACGTCTCGGCTGAGAGCCCTACGGATAGATGGCGGCACCACTCATTTTTTAGGCTACTTCTCTTATTTGGGCATAGATTTGAAGAAAAAGTACATTTTCTCCAGAACCCTGTACTCATGGTATAGTCGCTAACACGAGACAGTCAAGATTTACTACAACCAAACAATTTTCCTGATGAATTCGCCCTTAACTGACATGTTTCATTTATTTATTTCGTATTTTTATTGCCCTTAATTCTAAACTATTTATATTTTTGAAACAAGCATCAAAAGAGTAAAGCTCACGACTAGTTCATGACATAAATGAATTACTAATTCATTAATTTCATTCTTCTTTGACATAATTATAAAAGATACATAATTATTAAAGAACGTGACAGAAACTCCTTGTAAAACTCGTTGTTTATTCGATAGTTTGCAAACATCTCATATTTTATCTTTTAAACAATTAAAAGTAGATTTTTTTGTAGTTTAATTTTTAATAATGGCTAATGCTAAATCTATGAAAAAAATTCATTTTCCGAACGAATTAATTGAAATTTATGAACGATCTTAAGATCAGAGTAAAAACTACACCTTGCAACCGCCGTTCCAATTTTTGAAACCTAACACAAACGGTTATGGTACTATAAGAGAGTAATACGCAAACTATTTTTGTTGTTAATTAGTAATTATAAATTGTTATTAATTTAAATATTAATAGAAATTTCTAGTTCCGTACAAAAACGTTAATTACATTTTTGTTTCTTTGGTAAAAGAAAAATATAAAAGAAGAAAAAAGGAACAGAAATATATATCATGCCTTGTAAAAATGGATTAGAAAAATCAAAAATTGATTGAGTTTTTGAAAAGGTATTAAAAATAATTTTTAGAAGAATAGCGGTAATAAAGATATATCAGAAGGGCTCGGCGATTCTCTGAAAGTTCAGTAATCTTTTGGCGCGCGTAAGTTGGCGAAGCCATCGAGCTTGGCAACCTTATGTGAAGAATTTTGTCCTGTAGATATTTGGGAAGCGCGCGAAGTTTTCAGATGCCCGAAATCGGCAGTGAAATTCAGTTTGGGGAGGCAATGAGGTTCTCCAGCTATAGCTGGCAATGTGACGTGCTTGGCTTCGCGTGCTAAAATTTTGCAGAATATTTACCTGTAGTAATTTGTACTATAGAATTGAGTATGAATAGCGATAAAAATAGTTATTTTGAGACTACTAAATTTTTGTCCAGATGTTTATTTACAATTTTACTTTTGATGTCCACATTTCATACAGGGATATCCACTGTTAAGGGTGAGTTTCTTTTTTTTCTGTAATTAAAAAAAGAATTAAAGTCGAAATTTTATATTTTTAGCAGTATAGCATGTTATTGCTAATATAAAACAGGACTGATATAGAAGTGACTCTCCAGTGTCTTTAAGTATTTTGATTTTTAAAAATATTAGACTCATTATTTTGCTCGTTATTAGACTTAGATTGGTCGTTAGACTTCCTGAAAATTCATTTTAAACTACAGTTTTTATTGGACAGGAGACCAATTTAATAAATGACAGTACATCAATACATTTAACAAAAAGATGTGATAAAATTTATTTGCCATTCCAAGTGTTAGCCTGTTACAAGAAAAAAATTCTCGTTATTTAATTTAAATTGTAGAATTAGTAATTGTAATTTATTTAATTCCGAATAAAACTCATTGAAATATAATATTTTTTTAATTTCCATTAAAAAAAATTCATTATTTTTACCCTAAAATAAGCATTATATTGTAAATTAATCTGCTTAAATAAAGAAGTATATAAAAACAAGGTAATTTTTATTTGTCAACAGAAATTTTTAATAATAATTATTTAAAAAGATTTTTTTGATATTTATGAATACTTAAGTATGGCTTTTAAGGTCGAATACTAAAAAGTAATATACAGAAACAAAAGANTCTTTAAGTATTTTGATTTTTAAAAATATTAGACTCATTATTTTGCTCGTTATTAGACTTAAATTGGTCGTTAGACTTCCTGAAAATTCATTTTAAACTACAGTTTTTATTGGACAGGAGACCAATTTAATAAATGACAGTACATCAATATATTTAACAAAAAGATGTGATGAAATTTATTTGTCATTTCAAGTGTTAGCCTGTTACAAGAAAAAAATTCTCGTTATTTAATTTAAATTGTAGAATTAGTAATTGTAATTTATTTAATTCCGAATAAAACTCATTAAAATATAATATTTTTTTAATTTCCATTTAAAAAAAAATCATTATTTTTACCTTAAAATAAGCATTATATTGTAAATTAATCTGCTTAAATAAAGAAGTATCTAAAAACAAGGTAATTTTTATTTGTCAACAGAAATTTTTAATAATAATTATTTAAAAAGATTTTTTTGATATTTATTCAATACTTAAGTATGGCTTTTAAGGTCGAATACTAAAAAGCAATATAAAGAAACAAAAGATTTTGAAATTGCTGATATTCTTTTCAAAAAAAATTGGCTGACTGAATTTTTTTAACATAATATTTATCATAAAAATATCTTGCTTTCTATATATATTTTTTTATTTAGCTAATTTCAATGTTAATAAATGATTTTCTTTTATTTTCATAATTTTTTTATATTTTCTTTTAAGAAAATCACTACTGTTAATCTTTTTTTATTTTATAATTGCACTAAATGTTAAGAAGTAGTGGATGGTTTTTTTTCTTTTAAAAAAAACCCCAATTTGTTTAAAAACCAGTGATATACAATATCAGACGGTATTTTAAGTTACGAAATTTACCACAGGAACATTCACCAAATAAAAGAACATTTTATCTTCTTTCATCTACGAAATTCCGGAGGAAGCCAATATGTGGTGAAAATGGTCTCACTAATTTAAGCAAGAGAGTGATTGAGAATTTGGGCACCTTAATGTTTATTTCACTTTTCGTGTATTTTTTTATATCTCTAAAATCAATGAAGCAAATTAAAGTAGTTTTACACAGAATCATTAAATTTGTTTCTACAAAAATAACTGCAAGTAAAAAATTACTTTATACTGTTATTTATTATTTTTAGTCATTTAATTTATAAATGGTCCAAAATACTTAGATATGAATGTATACAAATTTTTGCACTAATCTGCATGATTTTAAAAGATAAATTTCGAAACTTTAAGAGAATCCGTGAAATAATTATTATAAAACAAATAGTTAAAAATACGACTTACGTGAGTTGGTGACATATGCAATAAGTAAAAATAAAAATAAGGGAAACAAATTTTTGACTGCTCTTCTACCTATATCATCCAGACTATGTTTTTCAGTTTGTCCCATTAAATTTTGAGGATTAACAATCCATCGAAATCAGGTATATCATAAGAAGTTCCGGAACAAATTACGGTAAAAAGTACCGACCCACAGGTTCCGGTACTCTTTATCGTAAACTCCATTTTTACTTGAATATGTTACAGAACAAAATATTTGATATACCGTAATTTTCACAGTATAATTACAGTAAAATCACTGAATTATCCTAATGGAATAAATATGCCTGTAAAAATTTCGACATAAAATTTCACAGTAAAAAGGGATTTTATGGATGATGTGTCGGTACTTATTCCGTAATTTATACCGTACCGTACCGGAAAATATTTAGTGTTTGCTTTTTTAGTGAAGGCACTTTTTTTAGTAGAATGTAGAAATGCCGTGAGCACTAAATTAGCATGTTTATTGAGTTTGTATCTTTTTTGATCTAAATTGCATGTTTTTTGCCCGGTATTATCTTTGAGTAAACGAATTATATAATTGAGAAAATTTTTTTTTCAATTCGTTTAAAAAGTTCTCGAGATGTGGTGAAATACGCAAAAAGTAAAATTAACATTAAGGGGTCCAAGCTTTAGATCTCTCTCCTGACCAAACTATTGGGAGCATAATACCCAGATTGCGGCTACCACCTATATTTTAGTCAGAAATCCGAATCTGTCGAAAAAATGGAATGTTTATTTAAAGAAAGTACGTTTTTGTCTGATTTCGTAACTTAAAATATCGTCTGCATTTATTAAATAGCATATTTGAGGTCACCCCCTTGAGCTATTAAGATTGAGTTCTAAAACGCGAAAATCCGATCATTAGATCAAAAGATATTCAAGGTAGTCAGTTTTCTTTTCTTTTTTTTCCGCTTTGGCGCCCTGTGTATCTTAAGCAAACGCAATAATGCATTCTAATTGTTTGAAATACGAAGCATTTGGGTAATCATCAGATCTGCTGTTCAAAAAAGCTAAATGAATTCACCAGAGAAAGAAGGCGAATTATAATTTGGTCAGACTGTGTTAAAAAAACATCAGTTTAAATTTAAAAAAGTCGTTTATGCTGATAAATAATTCTGATCATCCTGCCTCAGCGTTAAGCAATGACATGAAACGTAAATGTCATTAATCTGCTGTTTTAGAATTACCGATTGTTTCCCAAGAGATTTCAATAAACTCAGTACCAACTAAACAAAAATATCATATAAAATAACTAAATTATAAAATGGTAAAGCCATTAAAACTTAAATAGGAAAAGTTAGGAAAAAAAAAAGAAAATTTTACTAAAAAGATTAAAAAATCTAATTTTTTTGAAAATGCAGCTTCACCTTTGCATATTTTGATTGCATTTAACACTGTGAACTAGTTTTATAATGGAAATATTAAAAAGTGTTTCATTTTCTTAGAAAAAAAATTATACTTTCTAAAAAGAATTCATTTAAAGAACTTGAACTAAGTTTTCACAACTTTTTGATGAAAATAAAAATTATTGTAAAACTAATTAGAAATGAAAACATTTTATCAAAAGAGGATTTCGTGAAAGAAAGAAAAAATGTTCCGATTCAGATTCAATTTTAAATAGGTTTAAAAAGTCATAAAAGAATTTTTTCAACTTTTTGTACAGCGAAGAATTAAATCTCTTTTCAATTAATATAGAAAACTTTTTTACATTATTTCTGAGCTTTAATTTTTTTTTCAGTGCGTATTTTAAAACTGTCATAAAAAGTAATTAAACCGGGATACAAATAACAAAGTGTTAATAATTAAAATAACACTTCGTAATGGATCACGATTATTAAAAATGTTATAGAAATTTACGAGCTGTATATTTCGTATTATACGAATTTAAAATGTTAATAAAAATACTTTTTAAGATTTGCGTATAAAAAAGCACCTTAATTAAATGTAAAATCTTTTTAAGTCGTATAAAGTTTAATTTCAGTAGCTGAAATATATGCGACAATAAGTTTTTTAACATCACTTTGCAATGTTTCTGAAAGTTAGTGGACAATTCCACCTTTTAGTGCCACGCGTAATATAATCATTTTTATATTTGTCCAAAAAAATTGTAAATAAAATGTGTCTATGCTTGGATTGACACAGTGCCAAAAGTAAAATACATAAAAATTCCAATAAAATTTGGTGTTATTCTAAATTTTCTTAAGTTGTGGTAAATCTACACATATTTTAGTGAATTTATGAAAACTGGGTCCTGATTTAGGAAAAATCTTAAAAATAAATCATTTGCTTAGATTTTTTGTGGTAGATCTTGCTCTTGTAAATTTGCTAAAAATTTACTGGAAATTTTATGAATCTAAAATTAGAATCGGGTTCTTTTTAAAGTTCTAATTTGGTGAATATGAGAAAATAAAGTCCTGTTTTTGAGGAAAGAACTCACAGAAGCCATGTCTTATAGGGAGTTGTAGTCTTGAAATTATGAATTTTAAGCTTTATCAATTCTGTGTTACATAAGAATGTATTTCATTTCTATAATAGAAAACAAAATATTACAAAGTTCCAATTTTTGGATAAAATAGTTTGTGAACGACCCATTTTTACGATGAAGTATTTTAGAAGGGTTTGTTTTAACAATAAAAAATTTTGTGAATGGTCCATCAGAGCCCCCAAATTTCTCCTATAATGATTACTGCATGTGCTTAAGAAAACCTGCATACACATTGCCCTCCCCCCCTCCAACATCGTAAATTAATTCTGAATAAAATTATGGTATAAAGTACCAGTACTTTGGGAGCATTATGCATAAAATCTATTTTTACCTTAAAATAGTGTACTGTACTTTTTTAGTAATTTTTATTTAATAAGAATTATTCAGTGATTTTACAGTAAAAATTACGATACATCAGTTTTTATTGTTTCGTAACATGTAAAAATGAGCTGTAAAGATCAATAAAAATGGATTTTATGATAAAAAGTACCGGCACAAAGAGCGCCAGTACTTTTTACTGTAATTTGATCCGGAAATTTTTTACACTGTACTTGGAAT